ACATCATCAATGACTCCTAAGGAGCTTTGCAAAGAGACTCTGCAGTCAGAACACACAACTCTGGTGCAGAACAGTGAGGGTTTTCAGCTCTGGTGTGGATGACTTGGTGCAGTTTGCCTGCGTCTGCCTCCAAAAATGTTCTGTAGCAAATCTGCTGCCTCCTGCTCGCTTGACACCTACCATTACGACAGGGAAAAGCTTTGCTCTAGAACAAACAGCTTATTCCCAACCTTTCTGTGATGGCAGCCATTCCAGCAAACCATCTCCAGCCACAAAAGCAGGACTGGAGGGATGCTGGTCCCTGCAGGCAGGGAGTCCACACCAGCGCGGTCAGACACCCTCTGCTCTGTGGGTCTGCTCTCTGTCCCTGTTCCTCCTCCTCCTCACCCCTCCCTGCCAAGGGATGTCCTCAGTGCTCCACTCCAGACGCCACCTGAGCAGGTTCCTGGCGCAGAGCTGCCCGGTGCGTTACTCACCGGTGCTGGTCGGGTCCCAGGTGTGGAGCCCAAGCCCGGGGTCGGAAGGACTGCTGTCCTAGCTGCCTCTGCAAGTCTGGAGGGATTTCAGCTGTAGGGTTGGTCATGGCCAGAGTGTGCCTTTTTGACCTATTTGCCAAGTATCTGCAACAAGCAGGAGCACATTTTATAAGAGAGTGATGGGAGTACTCCGAAAACAGGGAGCGTTAGATAATCCAGAGCGGACGGGGAGGAAGAAGTTGCTGCAGTGCTCAGAACCAGACACACTGCCCACGCCTGTCACAGCACTGGGCCAGCAGAGCTTAGGGGACAAGTGCAGGTGCAGCTGCTGGAGCTCTGCTGCCAGCCCTGGAAGGAAAGAGGAGCCGTTTGCTCTTCCCGGCAGGAAAGCCTTGTCTCACCTCAAGGGGAATGCTGGTATGTCCCTTTGGGAATACCCAGGTGACTACCTGTCCTCAGCGTGGATTCACTCCAAGGGAGCAGGTCTGCCCCCCTCTCCCACGGCCCCACGAGCCAAGACACAGATACACCCAGCAGGAGCTGGGCAGAGAGCGGGAGCAGAGTGGAGCTGCTGCCCAAAGGCACCTTCTGGGGTGTCCTGTGTGCTTCACACCAACCCTGGGACACCCCAGGTCCTGTCGGGAGCAGTGGCCACCTTGTCGCAGCAGGAGAAGGGTGCAGGGGGGCAGAGATTGGGGTGGGCAGAGCCTCGGGCTGCCCGAGGAAGGGCTGGGGCTGAGCCGGGGCTGGTGCCAGTCCGATCCAAGTGCGCCATCTAGTCCCTGCTCCGCTCCGGGGAGCCGGGAACGGCCCGGGAT